ACCATCGTCACCATCGTCACCAACACCATCGTCACCATCGTCACCACCACCATCGTCACCACCACCATCGTCACCATCATCGCCACCACCATCGTCGCCACCACCATCGTCACCATCGTCACCACCACCATCGTCACCATCGTCGCCACCACCATCGTCACCATCATCGCCACCACCATCGTCACCATCGTCGCCACCACCATCGTCACCATCGTCACCACCACCATCGTCACCATCATCGCCACCACCATCGTCACCATCGTCACCACCACCATCGTCACCACCATCGTCACCATCGTCACCATCACCATCATCACCACCACCATCGTCACCACCACCATCGTCACCACCACCATCGTCACCATCGTCACCATCGGTCACCACCATCGTCACCATTGTCACCACCACCATCGTCACCACCACCATCGTTACCATCGTCACCACCACCATCGTCACCATCGTCGCCACCACCATCGTCACCATCGTCGCCACCACCATCGTCACCATCGTCACCAACACCATCGTCACCATCGTCACCACCACCATCGTCACCATCGCCACCACCATCGTCACCATTGTCACCACCACCATCGTCACCACCACCATCGTTACCATCGTCACCACCACCATTGTCACCATTGTCGCCACCACCATCGTCACCATCATCGCCACCACCATCGTCACCATCGTCACCACCACCATCGTCACCATCGTCACCACCACCATCGTCACCAACACCATCGTCACCATCGTCACCACCACCATCGTCACCATCGTCACCACCACCATCGTCACCATCGTCGCCACCACCATCGTCACCATCATCGCCACCATCATTGTCACCATCGTCACCACCACCATCGTCACCATCGTCGCCACCACCATCGTCACCATCATTGCCACCACCATCGTCACCATCATCGCCACCACCATCGTCACCATCGTCACCAACACCATCGTCACCATCGTCACCACCACCATCGTCACCATCGTCACCACCACCATCGTCACCATCATCGCCACCACCATCGTCACCATCATCGCCACCACCATCGTCACCATCGTCGCCACCACCATCGTCACCATCGTCACCACCACCATCGTCACCATCGTCGCCACCACCATCGTCACCATCATCGCCACCACCATCGTCACCATCGTCGCCACCACCATCGTCACCATCGTCACCACCACCATCGTCACCATCGTCGCCACCACCATCGTCACCATCATCGCCACCACCATCGTCACCATCGTCACCAACACCATCGTCACCATCGTCACCATAATCGGCCAATTCCACAAGTACCGCATGGAGATTCCCATGGCTCAACCAGCGCCACCACCGTCACCACCGTTGATCTCACTATCACCACCACCACCACCACCACCACCGTCACCACCGTTGATGTCACTATCACCACCACCGCCACCACCATCATCACCACCGCCACCAACACCCCACCACCTTCATCACAATGTTTCCCGTCTCCCTCCCCCCCCCCCCCGCCAGCCCCTGTGGAGGCTGACTAACGGTACGGCGGCCGACGGCCGCCTGGTGGTCTACCGCAGCGTGGACGTGCGGCCCCCGGCCGGGCCCCTGTCGGCCGGGGCCGCCTCGCCAGCACACCGCTTCTGCGGCATCACCAGCCCGGGGGTGCCGGCCGCGGGGGGGGGGGCCCGCGGGGGGAGGGACCGCGGGGGGGGGGGGCCGCGGGGGGGCGGGTTGCCGGGGAGCCCGAGGCGCCGCAGCGCACAGGTACGGCGGCGTGCGGGACGAGCGGGGCGCGCCGCCAAGTCACGAGTGGCGGTGAATATTGGAACCTTTTTCCGAATCGGTCCCGGGCCTCCCCTGTGTCGACTCGGCCCGACAGCACTTGCCGCCGACAGCCTGTTGAGGCTATGCGGTGGGGCGGGATCTTTGTCTTTGTGTGTACAGGTGCGTGCGTCGGTGGGGTGGCCGTCGCGTGTGCAGGCGGTGCCACCGTGCCGGGGGGCCCCGCTGGCCGGAGGGCCGAGTGAACTCCCTTGCCCCCAGGGCACAGACTAAACAGGGCGAGTGGTGGCGCAGCAATTAGCGCGCTGCGCTATCGACCCGTCCACCCGAGTTCGCTTTCCCAGCTCGCGCAGCGCCGTGCGTGGCGCGCGTTCCCATTGGGCGGTGCGTTCGATCCCCGCCCCCCCTCACCGCCGTCCCCTCCCCCTGATCACGTGATACCCCTGGATGCCCCCCCCCCGCCCCCCCCCGTGTAGAGGGCCCCCCGAGGGCGCGCCGCTCCCCGGACCCTGCGGCCCCCAAGGACACGTGCAAGCTGCTGCTGGTGGCCGACTTCCGCTTCTTCACGCACATGGGGCGCAGCCAGGAGAGCAGCACCGTCAACTATCTCGTGAGGGGCGGGGCGGGGGGGTCACTGGGGGGTCACGGGGGGAGGGTGATGCGGGGGGGGGGACACCGAGGGAGGGTGGGGGCACGGGGGGAGGAGGGAAGGGGCATGGGGGTGACATGGGTGGACACGAACAGCACTGTCAACTACAGCGTGAGACACGTGGCTGGGGGTCAATGGGTGGGGGGGTGATACGGGGGGGGGCACGGGGGGGGGAACGCGGGGGGAGGGGACATGAGGGGGACGTGGGGGTCATGGGGGGTCATGGGGGGACACGAGGGGGAGGACCGCAGCACCGTCAACTACCGAGTGAGCCCAGCAGGGGGCACGCTTGTGTTGACACCACGAGGTCAGATGTTGACTACCTCTGGCTGGCTGCTGTCAATGTTCACGTGACGACGATGATGATGATGATGAGCCGCTACGTTGGGCTATCATTTGTGGCCGGGTCGCTTCTGAAGAAGATCCACGCAGCTCGGTTGGCCTTCGCTGGTAAAATACTAAATAGTTTAGTTTTTGGTGTGGGTGTGCATCTGTTTGTACCTGTGTGTCTGTGTCTGTGTGTGCGTGTCGGTGAGCGGTAGTGTAGCGGTTCGCGCTACGAGCGCGGTGACCCGCGTTCGATTCCCGCTCACGGCCAACACCGGTGACGATCATCTGAACCGGTCCCTGAGCCTCCCCTAGGTCGACTCGGCCTCAAATGAGTGCCCGGTGCGATGTGTAAACATCGCCACTGGGGAGACAAAGGCGGCCGGGTGTGGTGCTGGCCACCCACCCCTTCGTGTCTCTGTGCCGGCCTTCATAGGTGCAGCTCACTAAAGCTCTTGTCCCAAAAGTCTGTTGAAGCTACACGGGGGATCTTTGTCTTTGTGTCCGGGTGTGTGTGTGTGTGCGTGCAGATTGAGCTGATTGACCGAGTGGATGACATTTACCGCATTACCACGTGGGACAACAACAACTACCGGGGCTACGGACTACAGATCGATCAGGTGGGCTATCCACCACCACAACAACCACAACAACCACGACCACAACAACTACCGGGGCTACGGACTACAGATCGATCAGGTGGGCTATCCACCACCACAACAACCACAACAACCACGACCACAACAACTACCGGGGCTATGGACTACAGATCGATCAGGTGGGCTATCCACCACCACAACAACCATAACAACCACGACCACAACAACTACCGGGGCTATGGACTACAGATCGATCAGGTGGGCTATCCACCACCACAACAACCACAACAACCACGACCACAACAACTACCGGGGCTACGGACTACAGATCGATCAGGTGGGCTATCCACCACCACAACGACCACAACAACCACGACCACAACAACTACCGGGGCTACGGACTACAGATCGATCAGGTGGGCTATCCACCACCACAACGACCACAACAACCACGACCACAACAACTACCGGGGCTACGGACTACAGATCGATCAGGTGGGCTATCCACCACCACAACAACCACAACAACCACGACCACAACAACTACCGGGGCTACGGACTACAGATCGATCAGGTGGGCTATCCACCACCACAACAACCACAACAACCACGACCACAACAACTACCGGGGCTATGGACTACAGATCGATCAAGTGGGCTATCCACCACCACAACAACCACAACAACCACGACCACAACAACTACCGGGGCTATGGACTACAGATCGATCAGGTGGGCTATCCACCACCACAACAACCACAACAACCACGACCACAACAACTACCGGGGCTACGGACTACAGATCGATCAGGTGGGCTATCCACCACCACAACAACCACAACAACCACGACCACAACAACTACCGGGGCTACGGACTACAGATCGATCAGGTGGGCTATCCACCACCACAACAACCACAACAACCACGACCACAACAACTACCGGGGCTACGGACTACAGATCGATCAGGTGGGCTATCCACCACCACAACAACCACAACAACCACGACCACAACAACTACCGGGGCTACGGACTACAGATCGATCAGGTGGGCTATCCACCACCACAACAACCACAACAACCACGACCACAACAACTACCGGGGCTACGGACTACAGATCGATCAGGTGGGCTATCCACCACCACAACAACCACAACAACCACGACCACAACAACTACCGGGGCTACGGACTACAGATCGATCAGGTGGGCTATCCACCACCACAACAACCACAACAACCACGACCACAACAACTACCGGGGCTACGGACTACAGATCGATCAGGTGGGCTATCCACCACCACAACAACCACAACAACCACGACCACAACAACTACCGGGGCTACGGACTACAGATCGATCAGGTGGGCTATCCACCACCACAACGACCACAACAACCACGACCACAACAACTACCGGGGCTACGGACTACAGATCGATCAGGTGGGCTATCCACCACCACAACAACCACAACAACCACGACCACAACAACTACCGGGGCTACGGACTACAGATCGATCAGGTGGGCTATCCACCACCACAACGACCACAACAACCACGACCACAACAACTACCTGGGCTACGGACTACAGATCGATCAGGTGGGCTATCCACCACCACAACAACCACAACAACCACGACCACAACAACTACCGGGGCTACGGACTACAGATCGATCAGGTGGGCTATCCACCACCACAACGACCACATCAACCACGACCACAACAACTACCACAAGAACTACTACATTACCACCCACATCAACCACGAAAGTAGACATGCCCTTGTCTCCTCGTATGTCCCCACGTCTCCCCTGTGTCTCTGCGTCTTTCCCCTCACGTGCCTTCCCGCATCGCCACGTGAGGACCCATGTCTCCCCGTGTCTCCACACGTCTCCCCGTGTCTCCCCGTGTCTCCCCGTGTCTCACCACGTCTCCCCGTGTCTCCCCGTGTCTCCACACGTCTCCCCGTGTCTCCCCGTGTCTCCCCACATCTCCCCGTGTCTCCCTGTGTCTCCCCACGTCTCCCCGTGTCTCCCCGTGTTTCCCCGGGTCTCACCACGTCTCCCCACGTCTCCCCGTGTCTCCCCGTGTCTCCTCACGCCTTCCCGTGTCTCCCCACGTCTCCCCGTGTCTCCCCGTGTCTCCCCGTGTCTCCCCGTGTCTCCCCGTGTCTCTCCGCATCTGACCACTTCTCCCCTTGTCCCTGCACGAGTCCCCACATCTCCGCGTGTCTCTCCTTACGCGTTTCCATGGTCTCTCCGCGTGGTCCCCGCGTGGTCCCCGCGTGGTGCGTAGATCATCGTCCACCAGAGGCCGACGGCCGTGAGCTCCGGCAGCAGCGGCAAGCGCCACTACAACATGAACGGCACGAGCCCGCCGGGCGCCGCCGCGTGGAATGTCAAGGCCCTGCTGGAGGTGGGGGGGGCCTGGTGCTGGGGGGTGGGTGGGGTGGGGCTGGTCACCCCGTGGTGCCCTTATAAAACTCAACGTTTAACCTACACACGACACTATACACGACACTTATACAGGTAGGAACAACAGCTTCCACACTGCCCACCAGGGATTATTTGTCTGTCTGTCTGTGCACGAATGCGCTGTCCAACCAAGTTCCTACCTGCCCACTCCGAAGGGGGGTGGGGGGTGGGGGGGTACATAGGGAAGGCGTGCGTGTGTGCGTGTGTGCGTGTGTGTGTGTGCGTGTGTGCGTGTGTGCGCGTGTGTGTGTGTGTGTGCGTGTGTGCGTGCGGTAGTGCAGCGGTCAGCACGCTGCACTACAAAGCTGGCGGACCGGGTTAGATTCCCGCTCACGGCCAACAACGGTGACGATTATCTGAAACGGTCCCTGAGCCTCCCCTAGGTCGACTCGGCCTCAAATGATTACCTGGTGCGGTGTGTAAACATCGCCAATGCGGTCGGGCGTGGTGCTGCTGGCCACCCAACTCCTCGTGTGCTGTGCCGGCCTTCGTAGGTGCTGCTCCACTAACAGCACTTGCCCCTTGTGTACACGTGCGTGTGCGTGTGTGTGCGTGCGTGCGTGTGTGTGTGCGTGCATGCGTTTTCACGTGAGAGCAGCAATTCAGCATCGACGTGTCGGAGAGCGCTCGCAACGTGTGCCTGGCGCACCTCTTCACGTACCAGGACTTCAGCCAGGGCACGCTGGGCCTCGCCTACGTGGGCTCGCCCAAGACCAGCGCCGTGGGGGGCATCTGCACGCCCAGTGAGTGGTGGGCGCACACACACACAAAGCTGGTGTGCGTGTGTGTGCGTGTGTGTGCGTGTGTGTGCGTGTGTGCGCGTGCGTGCGTGTGCGTGCGTGTGCGTGCGTGTGCGTGCGTATGTATGTGAGCCTGGCACAAGCGTCGTGGTGACGTCACCGCCACTTAGTGGCGAATGGCGGTTGTTGTTGTTGTTGTGTGTGAGCGGTGGTGCAGCGGTTAGCGCTACGCTGTGCTACGAACCCCGCGAGCCGGGTTCGATTCCCGCTCACGGCCAACACCGGTGACGATTACCTGAACCGGTCCCGCACCTCCCCTAGGTCGACTCGGCCTCAAATGAGTAACCTGGTGCGATGTGTGAACATCGCCACTGGGGAGACAAAGGCGGCCGGGCGTGGTGTTGGCCACCCACCTACCCCTCGTGTGCCGTGCCAGCCTTCATAGGCGCGCTAGCGGCACTTGCCCTGACAGCATGCGTGCGCTGTGACGATGTGTGTGGTGTTGTGACGTGTATGTTGCGTGCGCGTGCTTGTGTAGGCTACTTTAACGAACAAGCCAAAAAATACATCTTCCTCAACACCGGGCTCACCAGCACCATGAACTATGGGAAGACCATCCTCACCAAGGTGTGCACACACGCATGTGCGTGTGTGTGTGTCTGCATGCGTGCGTGTGTGCATACGTGCGTGTGTGTGTGCGTGTGTCTGCGTGCGTGCGTGTGTGTGTGCGTGTGTCTGCATGCGTGTGTGTGTGTGCGTGTGTGCGTGCGTGTGCGCGTGCGTGCGTGCGTGCATGTGCGTGTGTTGAGTCTATGGGCAGTGTTAGTCTATGGGCAGTGTTAGTCTATGGGCAGTGTTGAGTCTATGGGCAGTGTTGAGTCTATGGGTAGTGTTGAGCCTATGGGTAGTGTTGAGTCTATGGGTAGTGTTGAGTCTATGGGCAGTGTTAGTCTATGGGCAGTGTTAGTCTATGGGTAGTGTTAGTCTATGGGAGTGTTGAGCCTATGGGTAGTGTTGAGTCTATGGGTAGTGTTGAGTCTATGGGCAGTATTAGTCTATGGGCAGTGTTGAGTCTATGGGTAGTGTTGAGTCTATGGGTAGTGTTAGTCTATGGGCAGTGTTAGTCTATGGGCAGTGTTGAGTGTATGGGTAGTGTTGAGTCTATGGGTAGTGTTGAGTCTATGGGCAGTGTTGAGTCTATGGGCAGTGTTGAGTCTATGGGCAGTGTTGAGTCTATGGGCAGTGTTGAGTCTATGGGCAGTGTTAGTCTATGGGCAGTGTTGAGTATGGGTAGTGTGAGTCTATGGGCAGTGTTGAGTTATGGGCAGTGTTGAGTCTATGGGCAGTGTTGAGTCTATGGGCAGTGTTGAGTCTATGGGCAGTGTTGAGTCTATGGGCAGTGTTGAGTCTATGGGCAGTGTTGAGTCTATGGGCAGTGGAGTCTATGGGCAGTGTTGAGTCTATGGGCAGTGTTGAGTCTATGGGCAGTGTTGAGTCTATGGGCAGTGTTGAGTTATGGGCAGTGTTGAGTCTATGGGCAGTGTTGAGTCTATGGGCAGTGTTGAGTCTATGGGCAGTGTTGAGTCTATGGGCAGTGTTGAGTCTATGGGTAGTGTTGAGTCTATGGGCAGTGTTGAGTCTATGGGCAGTGTTGAGTCTATGGGCAGTGTTGAGTCTATGGGCAGTGTTGAGTCTATGGGCAGTGTTGAGTCTATGGGCAGTGTAGTCTATGGGCAGTGTGAGTCTATGGGCAGGTGGTTTTATGGGCAGTGTTGAGTCTATGGGCAGTGTTGAGTCTATGGGCAGTGTTGAGTCTATGGGCAGTGTGAGTCTATGGGCAGTGTGAGTTATGGGTAGTGTTGAGTCTATGGGCAGTGTTGAGTCTATGGGCAGTGTTGAGTCTATGGGCAGTGTTGAGTCTATGGGTAGTGTTGAGTCTAGGGCAGTGTTGAGTCTATGGGCAGTGTGAGTTATGGGCAGTGTGAGTCTATGGGTAGTGTTGAGTCTATGGGCAGTGTTGAGTCTATGGGCAGTGTTGAGTCTATGGGCAGTGTTGAGTCTATGGGTAGTGTGAGTCTAGGGCAGTGTTGAGTCTATGGGCAGTGTTGAGTCTATGGGTAGTGTTGAGTCTATGGGCAGTGTTGAGTCTATGGGCAGTGTTGAGTCTATGGGCAGTGTTGAGTCTATGGGCAGTGTGAGTTATGGGTAGTGTGAGTCTATGGGTAGTGTTGAGTCTATGGGTAGTGTTGAGTCTATGGGTAGTGTTGAGTCTATGGGTAGTGTTGAGTCTATGGGTAGTGTTGAGTCTATGGGTAGTGTTGAGTCTATGGGCAGTGTTGAGTCTATGGGCAGTGTTGAGTCAGGTAGTGTGAGTCTAGCAGTGTTGAGTGTATGGGTAGTGTTGAGTCTATGGGCATGTGTTGAGTCTATGGGCAGTGTTGAGTCTATGGGTCAGTGTTGAGTCTATGGGTAGTGTTGAGTCTATGGGTAGTGTTGGATCTATGGGTAGTGTTGAGTCTATGGGTAGTGTTGAGTCTATGGGTAGTGTTGAGTCTATGGGCAGTGTTGAGTCTATGGGCAGTGTTGAGTGTATGGGTAGTGTTGAGTCTATGGGCAGTGTTGAGTCTATGGGCAGTGTTGAGTCTATGGGCAGTGTTGAGTCTATGGGCAGTGTTGAGTCTATGGGCAGTGTTGAGTCTATGGGGCAGTGTTGAGTCTATGGGCAGTGTTGAGTCTATGGGCAGTGTTGAGTCTATGGGCAGTGTTGAGTCTATGGGCAGTGTTGAGTCTATGGGCAGTGTTGAGTCTATGGGCAGTGTTGAGTCTATTGGGCAGTGTTGAGTCTATGGGCAGTGTTGAGTCTATGGGTAGTGTTGAGTCTATGGGTAGTGTTGAGTCTATGGGCAGTGTTGAGTCTATGGGCAGTGTTGAGTCTATGGGCAGTGTTGAGTCTATGGGCAGTGTTGAGTCTATGGGCAGTGTTGAGTCTATGGGTAGTGTTGAGTCTATGGGCAGTGTTGAGTCTATGGGCAGTGTTGAGTCTATGGGTAGTGTTGAGTCTATGGGCAGTGTTGAGTCTATGGGCAGTGTTGAGTCTATGGGCAGTGTTGAGTCTATGGGTAGTGTTGAGTCTATGGGCAGTGTTGAGTCTATGGGTAGTGTTGAGTCTATGGGTAGTGTTGAGTCTATGGGCAGTGTTGAGTCTATGGGTAGTGTTGAGTCTATGGGTAGTGTTGAGTCTATGGGCAGTGTTGAGTCTATGGGCAGTGTTGAGTCTATGGGCAGTGTTGAGTCTATGGGTAGTGTTGAGTCTATGGGCAGTGTTAGTCTTTAAATCGAAAATTTTTTGTTGTTGTTGTCAGGAGGCAGACTTGGTGACCACCCACGAGTTTGGGCACAACTTTGGGGCGGAGCACGACCCCGACAGCGCCGAGTGCTCTGCCCCGGACGAAGCCGGAGGGAAGTTCGTCATGTATCCCTACGCCGTGAGCGGCGACCACGAGAACAACAAGGTGCTGTTGGCCTGGACCCCCCCCCCCCGGCCTTGCCCCCCCCCCCCCCCCCCATCATCGCCATGACTATCGTCGCCACCGTCATCATAATCGTCGTCGTCACCACCGTCAACACCACCACCGTCATCGCCATCGTCACCACAATCATCACCATCACCACCGTCACCACCACCGCCATCGCCATCGTCACCACAATCATCACCATCACCACCGTCACCACCACCGCCATCGCCATCGTCGCCATAATCATCACCATCGCCACCGTCACCACCCCACCGTCATCGTCATCATCACCATAATCATCACCATCACCACCGTCACCACCACCACCGTCACCACCATCGTCACCATAATCATCACCATCACCACCATCATCACCACCACCGTCATCGCCACCGTCACCATAATCATCACCATCACCACCGTCACCACCACCACCGTCATCGCCATCGTCACCATAATCATCACCATCACCACCGTCACCACCACCACCGTCATCGCCATCGTCACCATAATCATCACCATCACCACCGTCATCACCACCACCATCATCGCCATCGTCACCATAATCATCACCATCACCACCGTCACCACCACCACCGTCATCGTCATCGTCACCACAATCATCACCCTCACCACCGTCACCACCACCACTACCATCGTCACCGTCACCACAATCATCACCATCACCACCGTCACCACCACCACCACCACCATCGTCACCATAATCATCACCATCACCACCATCATCACCACCACCACCACCACCACCATCGTCACCGTCACCATAATCATCACCATCACCACCATCATCACCACCACCGTCATCGTCACCGTCACCACAATCATCACCATCACCACCGTCACCACCACCACTGTCATCACCACCACCACCATCGTCACCACAATCATCACCATCACCACCGTCATCACCACCACCATCGCCATCGTCACCATAATCATCACCATCACCACCGTCACCACCACCACCGTCATCATCATCACCACCATCGTCACCATAATCATCACCATCACCACCGTCACCACCACCACCATCATCGCCATCGTCACCATAATCATCACCATCACCACCGTCACCACCATCGTCACCATAATCATCACCATCGTCATCACCATCACCGCCATCGTCACCATAATCATCACCATCACCACCGTCACCACCATCGTCACCGTCACCATAATCATCACCATCACCACCGTCATCACCACCGTCATCGCCATCATCACCACAATCATCACCATCACCACCGTCACCACTACCACCATCGCCACTGCCATGTTTCCCATCCCACCACGTTGAACTCCCCCCCCTCCCCCCACCATTCTATCACGGTCAGTCTGCCGGCGTGCGGCGGTAGGCCGAGCGTGCTCAGACTGAGCCGCGATGAACACAACGGCCCTGCAGAGCTGGCCGGGGCTGCAGACGCAGCAGCCTGCTGCTTCAACGCTGCCCTGCTGCTCATGGTTATGATGTTGCGGCTACTGCTGCTGCTGTTGTTGCTGCTGCTACTAATACTGCTGCTCCTGCTGATGCCGATGCTGCTGCTGCTGCTGCTACTGATGATTCTGCTACGACTGATAATGCTGCTGCTACTGCTGCTGCTGCTACTGCTGCTGCTGATGTTGCGACTGCTGCTGTTGCTGCTGCTACTAATACTGCTGCTGCTGCCGCTGCTGCTGCTACTGTTGATGCTGATACTGCCGCTCCTGCTGCCGCTGCGCCTGCAGATGTTCTCCAACTGCAGCAAGCGCGCCATCTACAAGACGCTGGAGGCAAAGTCGGCGCGCTGCTTCTTGCCGCGCACGGTGAAGCTGTGCGGCAACTCGCGCGTCGAGGAGGGTGAGCAGTGCGACGCGGGACCCGCGTTCGCACACAACGACGCCTGCTGCACCGACACCTGCAAGCTGCGCCCGGGGAAGTTGTGCAGGTAGCGCACCGTGCTTGCTCACCCGCGCACCCGCTCGCTCGCTCGCTCACTCACTCAATCACTCACTCGCTCGCTCGCTCACTCGCGCACACACTCGCACACTTGCTCACCCGCTCGCTCACTCACTCGCTCACCCGCTCGGTCACTCACTCAATCACTCACTCGCTCGCTCGCTCGCTCGCTCACTCACTCACTCACTCGCACACTCACTCACTCGCACACTTACGCACTCACTCACTCACACACTCACCCGCTCACTCACTCACCCGCTCACTCTCTCACTCGCTCACTCGCTCACTCACTCACTCACCCGCTCACTCTCTCACTCACTCGCTTACTCTCGCACACTCACTCACCCGCTCACTCACTCGCGCACTCAGGCGCTTGGTCACCCACTCACCCGCTCACCCGCTCACTCTCTCACTCACTTGCTCACTCTCGCACACACTCGCACACTCACTCACCCGCTCACTCACTCGCGCACTCAGGCGCTTACTCACCCGCTCACTCTCTCGCTCACTCGCTCACTCGCTCACTCGCTCACTCGCTCACTCGCTCACTCGCTCACTCACTCACTCACTCACTCACTCACTCACTCACTCGCTCGCTCGCTCACACACTCACTCACACACTCACCCACTCGCTTACAAACTCACACACTCACTCACTCACACACTCACTCACTCGCGCACACACTCACTCACTCACACACTCACTCACTCACTTGCGCACACACTCGCTCACTCGCGCACTCGCTCACTCACGCGCTCACTCACTCACGCACTCACACGCTCACTCATACATTCACTCACTCGCGCACTCACTCACTCACACGCTCACTTACTCACGCACTCACTCACTTACTCACTCACTCACTCGCCCACTCACTCAGTCACGCGCTCACTCACTCACGCGTTCACTCACTCACTCACTCACTCGCTCACCCGCTCACACACTCACTCACACACTCACCCACTCGCTTACAAACTCACACTCACTCACTCACTCACACACTCACTCACTCGCGCACACACTCACTCACTCACACACTCACTCACTCACTCGCGCACACACTCGCTCACTCACTCACTCACTCACTCACGCGCTCACTCACTCACGCACTCACACGCTCACTCATACATTCACTCACTCGCTCACTCACTCACTCACACGCTCACTCACTCACGCACTCACTCACTTACTCACGCGTTCACTCACTCGCGCACTCACTCACTCACGCGTTCACTCACTCACGCATCTCTCTTTGTGCATCCCCGCGATTCGTGACGCGCCCCCCCCCCCCCCCCCCCGTCCGTGCTCAGTGACCGTAACTCCCCGTGCTGTCGGAACTGCTCGTACGAGCAAGCGGGAAAGCTGTGCCAGGAGCCCATCCCCTCCATCTGCCGCAGCGCCTCCTACTGCACAGGTACGCACCGCACCGTACCGTACACACTGCACCGCACACACAGCACACAGCACACACAGCATACAGCACCACACCGTACCGTACACACTGCACCGCACCGCACACACTGCACCGCAAGCACCGCACACACTGCACACACACACAGCACCACACACACACACACACAGCACACACAGCACCACACACACACACACAGCACACACAGCACCACACACACAGCACCACACACACACAGCACACACAGCACACCGCACACACTGCACCGCAAGCACCGCACACACTGCACACACACACAGCACCACACACACACACACACAGCACACACAGCACCACACACACACACAGCACACACACACACACACAGCACACACACAGCACACACAGCACCGCACCGCAGCACACACACACAGCACCGCACACACTGCACCGCACCGCACACACAGCACACACACACAGCACACACACACAGCACACACACACACAGCACACACACACAGCACACACACACACAGCACACACACACACAGCACACAGCACCGCACCGCACACATAGCACCGCAAGCACCGCACACACAGCATACAGCACACACACACACAGCACACACAGCACCACACACACACAGCACACAGCACACACAGCAGCACACACAGCACCACACACACACACACCACACACACAGCACCACACACACCACACACACAGCACCACACACGCAGCACACACACACAGCACCACACACACAGCACCACACACACACCACACACAGCACCACACACACACACACACACACCACACCACACACACACACCACACACACACACCGCACACACAGCACCACACACACACAGCACCACACACACACACACCACACACACACACCACACACACAGCACCACACACACAGCACCACACACACAACACCACACACACAGCACCACACACACAGCACCGCACGCACACACACACACAGCACACACACACACCGCACACACACACGCACACACACACAGCACCACACACACACACACACACCACACACACAGCACCACACACACAGCACCACACACACAGCACCACACACACAGCACACACACAGCACACACACAGCACACACACAGCACACACAGCAACACATACAGCACCACACACACAGCACCACACACACCACACACACAGCACCACACACGCAGCACACACACACAGCACCACACACACAGCACCACGCACACACCACACACAGCACCACACACACACACACACCACACCACACACACACACCACACACACACACCGCACACACAGCACCACACACACACAGCACCACACACACACACACCACACACACACACACCACACACACACCGCACCACACACACAGCACACACACACAGCACCACGCACACACAGCACACACAGCACCAAACACACAGCACCACACACACAGCACACACAGCACACACACACAGCACACACACCGCACACACACACGCACACACAGACAGCACCACACACACACACCACACACACACACACAGCACCACACACACAGCACCACACACACAGCACACACACAGCACACACACAGCACACACACAGCACACACACACAGCACACACACAGCACACACACACAGCACACACAGCAACACACACAGCACACTCAGCACACACACACCACACACACACACACCACACACACAGCACCACACACACAGCACACACACACAGCACCACGCACACACAGCACACACAGCACCAAACACACAGCACCACACACACAGCACACACAGCACACACACACAGCACACACACCGCACACACACACGCACACACAGACAGCACCACACACACACACCACACACACACACACAGCACCACACACACAGCACCACACACACAGCACACACAGCACACACACAGCACACACACAGCACACACACAGCACACACACACAGCACACACACAGCACACACACACAGCACACACAGCAACACACACAGCACACTCAGCACACACAGCACACACAGCACACACACAGCACACACACACAGCACACACAGCAACACACAGCACCACACACACAGCACACACAGCACCACACACACAGCACACACAGCACCACACACACAACACCACACACACAGCCCCACACACACACACAGCACACACACAGCACACACACACACAGCACACACAGCACCACACACACAGCACCACACACACACACACACAGCACACACACAGCACCACACACACACACACAGCACCACACACACAGCACACACAGCACCACACACACAGCACCACACACACACACACAGCACACACACAGCACCACACACACACACAGCACCACACACACAGCACACACAGCACCACACACACACACAGCAACACACACACACACAGCACACACACAGCACCGCACACACAGCACCACACACACACACACAGCACACACGCACACAGCACCACACACACACACAGCACACACACAGCACAAACAGCACCACACACACAGCACCACACACACACACAGCACACAGCACACACAGCACCACACAGCACACACACACAGCACACACAGGACCACACACACAGCACCACACACACACACAGCACACAGCACACACAGAACCACACAGCACACACACACACACAGCACCACACACACACAGTACACACACACACAGCACCACACACACACACAGCACACACACACAGCACCACACACACACAGCACCGCAACCACCGCACACACACACCACACAAATGGGGTAGCTCTACGAAGTGGCTTATCACGTGGAAATGTACAGCAGCCAAATGTATCTATACGCATTATGATTCTAAATGTGTAGAGGGAAAAACACAAACCACGGTGAGAGAGGCAAGCTCCAAATATACAGCAGCAGGCGTCAGGGTCGGGATTGAACCCACGACCTCCTGCTTAGCAGGCGAGGGAGATAACATCTCCTAGCCACCGTGATGATGGTGAGAGAGAGACACACAAACTCCAAATATACAGCAGCAGGCGTCAGGGTCGGGATCGAACCCACGACCTCCTGCGCACCAGGCGAGGTAGTTAACATCTCCTAGCCACCGTGATGATGATGATGATGAGAGAGAGAGACACGCAAACTCCAAATATACAGCAGCAGGCGTCAGGGTCGGGATTGAACCCACGACCTCCTGAGCTTCAGAGTTTATTGGAGCCCTCGAGTCTAAATAAAGATGTTGATGCTGGGACCGTCACAGCTAGATGTATCTTGTTATCGCGGCATCTCTTGAGGAAGGCCAGCGTCTCGAGAAGCTGTGACTTTTTGATTTAAAGCTTTCGTGACTGCAGGGATTCATCTTCTTTGTTATTTCGGTAAAGTCACGTAGAAGGGAAGTAATAAAATAATAAGACATAATAAAATAATTCTCACGACGTTTCGGCCACAACGCAAGCAGCCGTCTTCAGGTGAAGACCAGGTCTGTCGGAAAGACAGTCTGAAACGTGACTTTACCGAAAGAACCAAGAAGAAGCTGTGACTTCTTGTCTCGTTGTCTGTTAAAAACTCTAACAGATAGGTGGAATTCCTCCCCGTTGAGGGTATTCATTCTAGATTTGAAGCTTTCGTGACTGTGTTGCCTCCGAAACGTCGTGATTTATTATTTTATTTTGTTTCTATTATTACTTTGATTAATTTTAAATGTTTTTACCTACGTGACTTTACCGAAAAAACCCAAGAGGTATGAATCCTTGCAGTCACGAAAGCTTCAAATCTAGAATGTTGATTCTGATAGGTCACCGGACCCGCCGCCACAGCAATCCACGGCTCGCCAATTATGCTGTGGCTCACGCGTGAGAGGGGGGGGTCGTCTCTGTGTCGTGAGCAGCGAGTGTTCACGTAAGAGGGGGGGGGTCGTCTCTCTGTCGTGAGCAGCGAGTGTTCACGTGAGGGGGGGGGGGTCGTCTCTGTGTCGTGAGCAGCGAGTGTTCACGTGAGGGGGGGGGGTCGTCTCTGTGTCGTGAGCAGCGAGTGTTCATGTGAGAGGGGGGGGAATCGTCTCTGTGTCGTGAGCAGCGAGTGTTCACGTGAGGGGGGGGGGGTCGTCTCTGTGTCGTGAGCAGCGAGTGTTCACGTGAGGGGGGGGGGTCGTCTCTGTGTCGTGAGCAGCGAGTGTTCATGTGAGAGGGGGGGGGGTCGTCTCTGTGTCGTGAGCAGCGAGTGTTCACGTGAGAGGGGGGGGAATCGTCTCTGTGTCGTGCGCAGCGAGTGTTCACGTGAGAAGGGGGGGGGATCGTCTCCGTGTCGTGAGCAGCGAGTGTTCACGTGAGGGGGGGGGGGGTCGTCTCTGTGTCGTGAGCAGCGAGTGTTCACGTGAGAAGGGGGGGGGATCGTCTCTGTGTCGTGAGCAGCGAGTGTTCACGTGAGGGGGGGGGATCGTCTCTGTGTCGTGAGCAGCGAGTGTTCACGTGAGGGGGGGGGGTCGTCTCTGTGTCGTGCGCAGCGAGTGTTCACGTGAGGGGGGGGGGTCGTCTCTGTGTCGTGAGCAGCGAGTGTTCACGTGAGGGGGGGGGTCGTCTCTGTGTCGTGCGCAGCGAGTGTTCACGTGAGAGGGGGGGGGGGTCGTCTCTGTGTCGTGAGCAGCGAGTGTTCACGTGAGAGGGTGGGGGGATCGTCTCTGTGTCGTGAGCAGCGAGTGTTCACATGAGAGGGGGGGGGGGGGGTCGTCTCTGTGTAGTGAGCAGCGAGTGTTCATGTGAGAGGGGGGGGGGATCGTCTCTGTGTCGTGAGCAGCGAGTGTTCACGTGAGAGGGGGGGGGGGTCGTCTCTGTGTCGTGAGCAGCGAGTGTTCACGTGAGAGGGGGGGGGGGATCGTCTCTGTGTCGTGAGCAGCGAGTGTTCACGTGAGAGGGGGGGGGTCGTCTCTGTGTATTGAGCAGCGAGTGTTCACGTGAGAGGGGGGGGGGTCGTCTCTGTGTCGTGAGCAGCGAGTGTTCACGTGAGAGGGGGGGTCGTCTCTGTGTCGTGCGCAGCGAGTGTTCACGTGAGAGGGGGGGGCGTCTCTGTGTCGTGTGCAGCGAGTGTTCACGTGAGAGGGGGGGGGGATCGTCTCTGTGTCGTGAGCAGCGAGTGTTCACGTGAGAGGGGGGGGTTCGTTTCTGTGTGGTGAGCAGCGAGTGTTCACGTGAGAGGGGGGGGGGTCGTCTCTGTGTCGTGAGCAGCGAGTGTTCACGTGAGGGGGGGGGGGCGTCTTCTGTGTCGTGAGCAGCGAGTGTTCACGTGAGAGGGGGGGGGTCGTCTCTGTGTCGTGAGTAGCGAGTGTTCACGTGAGAGAGGGGGGGGGTCGTCTCTGTGTCGTGAGTAGCGAGTGTTCACGTGAGAGTGGGGGGGGGTCGTCTCTGTGTCTGCGTGGTGTGCAGGCGTGAGCAGCGAGTGTTCACGTGAGAGTGGGGGGGGGTCGTCTCTGTGTCTGCGTGGTGTGCAGGCGTGAGCAGCGAGTGTTCACGTGAGAGTGGGGGGGGGTCGTCTCTGTGTCTGCGTGGTGTGCAGGCGTGAGCAGCGAGTGTTCACGTGAGAGTGGGGGGGGGTCGTCTCCGTGTCTGCGTGGTGTGCAGGCGTGAGCAGCGAGTGCCCCCCGGCGGGTCCCGCCGACGACAACTCGACGTGCGTGGACGCGGGCAAGTGCGACGGGGGCCACTGCAAGCCGTTCTGCGAGACCGTGGGCCTGCAGTCCTGCGCCTGCAAGGGTGGGGCAGGCGCGGCGCTTGGCGGCGGCGTCGGTGGTGGCGGTGTCGTCGTCATCGTCGTCGTCGTCATCGTCGTCATCATCATCGTCATCATCATCGTCGTCATCATCGTCATCATCGTCATCGTCATCGTCGTCGTCATCATCGTCATCGTCGTCGTCATCATCGTCATCATCGTCATCATCGTCATCATCGTCGTCGTCATCGTCATCGTCATCATCATCGTCATCATCATCATCATCGTCATCATCGTCATCATCGTCATCATCATCATCATCGTCACCATCGTCATCGTCGTCATCGTCGTCATCGTCGTCATCGTCGTCGTCATCGTCGTCATCATCGTCATCGTCATCGTCGTCATCATCGTCATCATCATCGTCATCGTCATCGTCGTCGTCGTCATCATCGTCATCGTCATCATCATCGTCGTCATCATCATCGTCGTCATCATCGTCGTCATCGTCATTATCATCGTCTTCATCATCGTCGTCATCGTAATGATCAGTCGTCGTCGATGCCAATATCATCATTTGTCATTATCATCATCATTGATGACTGTCAATAGCATCATCGTTGATCATCATCATCGATGACAATGTCAGTAGCATCGTCATCGATGGCAGTTTCAATATTATCATCATTGATGTCAATGTAATTTTTTAAAGTGTTATCATCAGCATCATCAGCAGTGCTATCATCATCATCATTGGTCATTGTCATCATCATCGTCTTTGTGATCATCAGTGTTATCATCATTATCATCGATGACGTCACGATAATTATCGATGGCAACATAATCAGAGATGACGTCACTAGATAATGACGTCATCACGATCGTCGTCGGCAATGTAATTGACATCATCATGATGACGACGATGATGACGATGATGATGACGATGATGATGACGATGATGATGACGATGATGACGACGATGATGATGACGATGATGACGACGATGACGATGATGATGACGATGATGACAATGATGACGGCAGTGGAAGGGTTGATATGAGATGAATGCAAATCCTTACATCCTTCAACCGGTATCATTTTTGTCACCGTTGTCATACAGTGTCCCCATGAGCCCCTGGGTCCCCATGAGCCTGGGTCCCCTCCCCCCCTCGTACCCCCTTGACCCCTCCTCCCCCTCCTACCCCCTCCTACCCCCATGACCCCTCCTCCCCCCACGTCCCGTGACCCCCATACTCTCCCCTTCCCCTCCCGCCGCCCCGTAGAGGTGGACCTGGCGTGCTCCGTGTGTTGCCGCGTCACTCGTGACGGGCCGTGCGTCCTCTACGAGCAGGACGGGGGCCGCAAGCGCCTACGCAAGGGCAAGACCTGCTCCGTGGGCTTCTGCGATGGCAACGTGCGTGTTCGCACACACACACGCACACACACACACGCACACATACGCCCGCACACGCACACACGCACATGCACATGCACACACGCACACACACACACACGCACGCACACACACACACACACGCACACACACGCACACATACGCCCGCACACGCACACACGCACACACGCACACATACGCCCACACGCACACGCACACGCGCACACGCGCACACGCGCACACATGCACACACGCACACACGCACACGCACCTGGCTGCCTTGGTCTCCCCCGGGGATGTTTACACCGCTCCGGACACTCCCTGTGTGGCTTTGCTGACATGTTTGTGGCGATGTCGAGAGCACTTTGGCTGTGGTGGTGGTGGTGTGGGTGGTGGTGGTGGTGGTGTGGGTATTGTGAACATTGTGATGGTGTTGGTGTGGTTATCACTGTGGCGGTGGTGGTGGTTGTGGTGGTGTGGGTGTTATGAACATTGTGGTGGTGCTGGTGTGGCTGACACTGTAATGGTGATGAACACTGTTGGTGGTGCTGGAGCGGTTAACACTGTGATGGTGTTGGTGTGGTTATCACTGTGGCGGTGGTGGTGGCGGTGGTGGTGGTGGTGTTAACACTGTGATTGGTGTTGGTGTGGTTATCACTGTGGCCATGGTGGTGGCGATGGTGGTGATGGTGGTGTGGGTGTTGCGGTGCAGGGCAAGTGTGAGAAGACCGTGCAGGATCCCATCGAGAGGTTCTGGGTCTTCATCGACAAACTCGACATCAACAGCTTCCGTGAGTGCGGCAGTGTGCGCGTGTGTGTGTGTGCGTGTGCGTGTGTGTGTGTGCGTGTGTGTGTGCGTGTGTGTGTGTGCGTGCGTGTGTGTGCGTGCGTGTGTGTGCGTGTGTGCGTGCGTGCGTGTATGTGCGTGCGTGCGTGTATGTGCGTGCGTGTGTGTGTGTGTGCGCGCGCGCGTGTGCGTGCGTGTGTGTTTGCACGTGCGTGTGTGTGCGCGTGCGTGTGGGGAGCGGTGGTGTAGCGGTTAGCGCTACGCTGCGCTATGAACCCGGTGACCCGGGTTCGATTCCGGCTCACGGCCAACACCAGTGACGATTATCTGAACCGGTCCCGAGCTTCCTCTAGGTCGACTCAGCCTCAAATGAGTACCTGGTGCGGTGTGTAAACATCGCCACTAGGGAGACAAAGGCAGCCGGGCGTGGTGCTGTCCACCCACCCCCTCGTGTGCCGTGCCGGCCTTCGTAGGGGCTCACGAAAAGCACTTGCCCCTACAGTCTGTTAAGGCTACACGGGGGATCTTTGTCGTTGTGTAGGCAAGTTCCTGGCGGACAACATCGTGGGCTCCGTGCTCGTGTTCTCCCTGCTCTGCTGGGTTCCACTCAGCATCCTCGTGCACTGCGTGGTACGATGCTCACTCGCTCGCTCGCCCTCGCTCGCTCACCCTCGCTCGCTCACCCTCGCGTTCACACCGACTCTCACGCTCGCCCTCAGTCACTCGCCCTTACACACTCGCTCATACGCAATCACTCGTGCCTTCGTGAGCATGTGTTCCTATGCTCACAGATGTGTGTGTGCGTGCGTGGGTGCGTGTGTGTGTGGGTGCGTGTGTGGGTGCGTGCGTGTGTGTGTGTGTGCGTGTGTGTGTGGGTGTGTGTGTGTGTGGGTGCGTGTGTGTGTGGGTGCGTGTGTGTGTGTGTGTGCGTGCGTGCGAGCTAAGAACACTTGCTCCAATAGACCTTTGTCTTTGTTTGGGCAGAGGTAGTGCAAAGGTGGTGAGCACGCGTTGTGCTCCGAACCCGGCGACCTGAGTTCGATTCCTGCTCACGACCAACACCAGTAACGTTTGTCCGCACCGGTCCTGAACCTTTCATAGGTTGACTCAGCCTTAAACGAGTACCTAGTGCAATGCGTAAAGATCGCCACTGGGGAGACAAAGGCGGCCGGGTGTGGTGCTGGCCACCCACTCACCCCCTCGGTGTGCCGTTTCGGCCTTCATAGGTGGTGCTCGCTAACAGCACTTGCCCCTACAGTCTGTTGAGGCTACACGGGGGATATTTGTGTGAATTTTGATTATTTAGATTAATTTTGCTGCTATAGATTTCCACGATGTGGCCAGGTCACATATGAAAAACAAGTAAACCCGTAAAAACAAAGTTTTTCACTCTAAATCCTTTATATGCGTGGCGGCTAGAGTTCTCTCGTCCTCTGGCTTGAGATGGCTGAAATCTATGGGTCAGATGATTGTCTGCCAGTATTAAGCAATTGGTAATTAAATATTTAATTTGTTTTCCCTAAACAGTGTAAAATTTTTGAAAAAAAATTTCACGAAAATTAATTGTCACACACAACGAGTCTGTGTGGAAAATGTCAGCTCGATTGGATCACGGGAAGTGGGTTAAAAAACGACCGAAAGATTTGCACGGTCCTAAGCAAGCAAGCACGCAAGCACGCGAACTTAATATAAAGGATTTAATAAGATAATCGCTCAGTGGGGCTTTACGTAGTAAGATCAAAAATAGTTTAGTTTAATAAAAATGTTAATTTTTTAAAGTGACTTGATTACCTTTCTTATACTTTGCACTCCGTAAAAAAATAACTTTACACTTACAATTTTCGTGACTGCAGGAATTCAGCTTCCTGGTTTTTTCGGTAAATTCACGTAGATATAAATAAAAAAAAATCTAAATTAAAATAAAAAAATTCCGTGACGTTTCGATCGCAACGCAAGCGGCCTTTTTCTCTCCACCTGAAGAAGGCCGCGATCGAAACGTTGTGGCTTCTTTGTTTTTAATTTTAGATTTTTTAGTTTTCTACCTTTAACGAAAGAACCAAGAATATATTAACTTTCCAGCTGATCCGATTCCAACCACAGTGATAGCGATTGTCTAAACCGGTCCTGGGGCCTCAAATGAGTACCTGGTGCGATGCGTGAACTTTGCCACTGGGGAGACAAAGGCGGTGGGGCGTGGTGCTCGCCCATCCCGCCCCCTCGCGCGCCGTGCCCGTTTTCATCGTCGCCACTCGATAACAGCACTGGGCCCAAGAGTTTATTAAGGCGACACGGGGGATCTTTTTATGTGTGCGCCTGTGCGTGTGTGCGTGTGTGCGTGCGTGTGTGCGTGTGTGTGTGCGTCTGTGTGTGTGCATGTGTGCGTATGGGGAGCGGTAGTGTAGTGGTTAGCGCGCTGCGCTACGAACCTGGCGACCCGGGTTCGATTCCCGCTCACGGCAAACACCAGTGACGATTATCTGAACCGGTCCTGGGCCTCCCCTAGGTCGACTCAGCCTCAAATGAGTACCTGGTGCGGCGTGTAAACATCGCCACTGGGGAGACAAAGGCGGTCGGGCGTGGTGCTGGCCACCCACCCCCTCGTGTACCGTTCCGGCCTTCATAGGTGCTCGCTAACAGCACTTGCCCCTACAGTCTGTTAAGGCTATATGGGGGATCTTTGTCTTTGTGTGCGTGTGTGTGTGTGCTTGTGTGCACCCATCCAGGACAAGAAACTCGACCGCCAATTTGAGGAAAGCAAGGTCATGCACTTCCTGCCGGCGAGCGTGAGTCACCCGCAGCTTTCATCGCGTGCGGCGGCCAGAAGCATCGCAATGCCCAGACAACCTCCACATCTGTCTCACCAGTGGGGTCCACAATGTCCACATCTCTCACCAGTGGGTCCACAATGTCCACGTCTCTCTCACCAGTGGGGTCCACAATGTCCACGTCTCTCACCAGTGGGTCCACAATGTCCACGTCTCTCTCATCAGTGGGGTCCACAATGTCCACATCTCTCTCACCAGTGGGGTCCACAATGTCCACGTCTCTCTCACCAGTGGGGTCCACAATGTCCACGTCTCTCTCACCAGTGGGGTCCACAATGTCCACGTCTCTCTCACCAGTGGGTCCACAATGTCCACGTCTCTCTCACCAGTGGGTCCACAATGTCCACATCTCTCTCACCAGTGGGGTCCACAATGTCCACGTCTCTCTCACCAGTGGGGTCCACAATGTCCACGTCTCTCTCACCAGTGGGGTCCACAATGTCCACGTCTCTCTCACCAGTGGGTCCACAATGTCCACGTCTCTCTCACCAGTGGGTCCACAATGTCCACATCTCTCTCACCAGTGGGGTCCACAATGTCCACATCTCTCTCACCAGTGGGGTCCACAATGTCCACGTCTCTCTCACCAGTGGGGTCCACAATGTCCACGTCTCTCTCATCAGTGGGCTCCACAATGTCCACGTCTCTCTCACCAGTGGGGTCCACAATGTCCACGTCTCTCTCACCAGTGGGATCCACAATGTCCACATCTCTCACCAGTGGGTCCACAATGTCCACGTCTCTCTCACCAGTGGGGTCCACAATGTCCACGTCTCTCTCACCAGTGGGGTCCACAATGTCCACGTCTCTCTCATCAGTGGGGTCCACAATGTCCACATCTCTCTCACCAGTGGGTCCACAATGTCCACGTCTCTCTCACCAGTGGGGTCCACAATGTCCACGTCTCTCTCACCAGTGGGTCCACAATGTCCACATCTCTCTCACCAGTGGGTCCACAATGTCCACGTCTCTCTCACCAGTGGGGTCCACAATGTCCACGTCTCTCATCAGTGGGGTCCACAATGTCCAAGTTTCTCTCATCAGTGGGGTCCACAATGTCCACGTCTCTCACCAGTGGGGTCCACAATGTCCACGTCTCTCTCACCAGTGGGGTCCACAATGTCCACGTCTCTCATCAGTGGGGTCCACAATGTCCACGTCTCTCTCACCAGTGGGGTCCACAATGTCCACGTCTCTCTCACCAGTGGGGTCCACAATGTCCACGTCTCTCATCAGTGGGGTCCACAATGTCCAAGTTTCTCTCACCAGTGGGGTCCACAATGTCCACGTCTCTCTCACCAGTGGGGTCCACAATGTCCACGTCTCTCACCAGTGGGTCCACAATGTCCACGTCTCTCTCAACAGTGGGTCCACAATGTCCACGTCTCTCTCACCAGTGGGTCCACAATGTCCACGTCTCTCACCAGTGGGGTCCACAATGTCCACGTCTCTCTCATCAGTGGGGTCCACAATGTCCAAGTTTCTCTCACCAGTGGGGTCCACAATGTCCACGTCTCTCACCAGTGGGGTCCACAATGTCCACGTCTCTCTCACCAGTGGGGTCCACAATGTCCACGTCTCTCACCAGTGGGGTCCACAATGTCCACGTCTCTCTCACCAGTGGGGTCCACAATGTCCACGTCTTTCTCACCAGTGGGGGGTCCACAATGTCCACGTCTCTCACCAGTGGGGTCCACAATGTCCACGTCTGGCCACAAATGGTAGCTCAAGGAAGTGGCTTATCGCGTGGCGATTTACAGCAGCCAAACACTCTAAACGCGCGGCGATGTTGATTCTAAATGTGAAAGAGAAAAACCGGAGGAATCGGAGGTAAAAATCCACACGATCGCAGGGGGAGAGAGAGAGAACAGGCGTCAGGGTCGGTATCGAACCCGCGACCTCCTGCATACCACGTTGAACTTCTTTCGCACCATACGTCGGCAGCCGTGCTAATCGGACGTGCGGGGAAAGGACAACAAACTAAACATGAGAAGCAGTTTTCAAGACGCCACTTTTTAATCTAGATTTCAAAGTGCAAAATTCCAGTGGATTCCTAATATCAGAAGGAAGAGCGTTCCAGACGGCCGCAGAAACGCATCCGAAAGCACGTGACGCGGTCGCCATCTTGATTCGATGGCTCGCAGCAAAAAGCTGCTACTGCTGCTGCTGCTGATACTGCTGCTGCTGCCGATACTGCTGCTGCTACTGCTGCTACTGCTGCGGCTGCTGCTGCTGCTGCTGCCGCTGCTGCTGCTGCTGCCGCTGCTGCTGCCGGTGCCGCTGCTGCTACTGCTGCTGCTACTGCTGCTGGTGCTGCGGCTGCTGCTGCTGCTGCTGCTGCTGCTGTTGCTGCGGCTGCTGCTGCTGTTGCTGCTGCTGCCGCTGCTGCTGCTGTTGCTGCTGCTACTGCTACTGCTACTGCTGCTGCTGCTGCTGCTGCTGCCGCTGCTGCTGCTGCCGCTGCTACTGCTGCTACTGCTACTGGTGCTGCGGCTGCTGCCGCTGCCGCTGCCGCTGCTACTGCTGCTGCTGCTACTGCTGCTGCTGCTGCAGCTGCTGCTGCTGCTGCCGCTGCTGCTGCTGCTATTGCTGCTGCCGCCGCTGCTGCTGCTGCGGCTGCTGCTGCTGCGGCTGCTGCTGCTGCTGCAGCTGCTGCTGCTGCTGCCGCTGTTGCTGCTGCCACTGTTGCTGCTGCTGCTGCTGCTGCCGCTGTTGCTGCTGCTGCCGCTGTTGCTGCTGCTGCTGCTGCTGCGAGGATGAACGGAGTTTGTCGTGATGATGGTTTACGCTCCTTGACGAGATCGGTGAGGTACATCGTGGTTTGTAGCTGGCGAGAGAGTTCACAGCTCGCCACCGTGCGTGCCCATGCCTGTGTGTGTGCGTGTGTGTGCGTGTGTGTGCGTGTGTGTGCGCGTGTGTGTGCGTGTGCGCCTGTGTGCGTGCGTGTGTGCGTGCGCGTGTGCGCCTGTGTGCGTGCATGTGTGCGTGCGTGTGTGCGTGTGTGTGTCTGTGCGCGTGTGCGCGTGCGCGTGTGTGTGTGTGCGTACGTGTGTGCGTGTGTGTGCATGTGTGTGCGAGTGTGTGTATGCGTGTGTGTGTGCGTGTCTGTGTGCGTGAGTGTGTGCGTGTGTGTATGCGTGTGTGTGTGCATGTGTGTGCGAGTGTGTGTGCGTGTGTGTATGCATGTGTGTGCGAGTGTGTGTGCATGTGTGTGCGTGTGTGTGCGTGTGCGAGTGTGTGTGCGTGTGTATGTGTGTGCGATGTGTGCGTGTGTTGTGTGTATGCGTGCGTGTGTGCGTGTCTGTGTGCGTGAGTCCCCGTGATCAAGGGGTGGAGCAGCAGTGCAGTGATTATTACAGCCCCAGCGACCCGCGTTTCATTCCCGCTCACGGCCAACACCCAGTGACGATTATCAGAACCGGTCCTGGGCCTCCCCTAGGTCGACTCAGCCTCAAATGAGTACCTGGTGCGGCGTGTAAAAACATCGCCACGGGGAGGGGGGTGGGAGAGACAAAGGCGGCCGGGCATGCTGCTGGCCACCCCCCCCCCCCCCCCCTCGTGTGCCAGCTCACCAACGACACTTTTGTCTCCCGGGACCTCCAGACTGCCGAGCTGAACAGCAGCGACTCGGCACCGTTCCGCGTCGTCCGGCGAAACTGCATCCTCCAGACTCCGCAGAGCCGCACTCCAGGGCCCCCCTACTACGGCTACGGGGGGGGGGGCACTGCCCACCACCACCATCTCCACGGCTACGCGGGCCCCCCACCACCGCAGCAGCAGCTGCAGCAGCCCTCCGCGGAGATGCAGACCATCCCCGAGGACCCCGGGGCGGAGGGCTCGCAGGGGTCGGAGGGGACCCGCGCCCGCTCCTACGAGGACCTCACGGACGGTGCGGATCCCCGCGCGGGGTCACACGCGGGGTCACACGTGGGGTCACACGCGAGGTCACACGGGGGGTCACACGGGGGGTCACATGGGGGGTCACACGGGGGGGTCATGGTGGGAAGGTGTGATAGCAGCGACCGGGAGACGAAATGCTGAGTGGGGGTGAGGAGCGTCCTTCTGGTCGACTCACTGACTCACTACCAGCAGTACTCACTCACTAGCTGCAGTACTCACTCACTACCAGCAGTACTCACTCACTACCAGCAGTACTCACTCACTCACTAGCTGCAGTACTCACTGACTCACTAGCTGCAGTACTCACTCACTACCAGCAGTACTCACTCACTACCAACAGTACTCACTCACTAGCTGCAGTACTCACTCACTACCAGCAGTACTCACTCACTACCAGCAGTACTCACTCACTCACTAGCTGCAGTACTCACTGACTCACTAGCTGCAGTACTCACTCACTAGCTGCAGTACTCACTCACTAGCTGCAGTACTCACTCACTACCAGCAGTACTCACTCACTAGCTGCAGTACTCACTACCAGCAGTACTCACTCACTAGCTGCAGTACTCACTCACTACCAGCAGTACTCACTCACTACCAGCAGATCTCACTCACTCACTACCAGCAGTACTCACTACCAGCAGTACTCACTCACTACCAGCAGTACTCACTCACTAGCTGCAGTACTCACTCACTAGCTGCAGTACTCACTCACTACCAGCAGTACTCACTCACTACCAGCAGTACTCACTCACTACCAGCAGTACTCACTCACTAGCTGCAGTACTCACTCACTACCAGCAGTACTCACTCACTACCAGCAGTACTCACTCACTAGCTGCAGTACTCACTCACTACCAGCAGTACTCACTCACTCACTGCAGTACTCACTCACTAGCTGCAGTACTCACTCACTAGCAGCAGTACTCACTCACTACCAGCAGTATTCACTCACTACCAGCAGTACTCACTCACTAGCAGCAGTACTCACTCACTAGCTGCAGTACTCACTCACTACCAGCAGTACTCACTCACTAGCTGCAGTACTCACTCACTACCAGCAGATCTCACTCACTCACTGCAGTACTCACTCACTACCAGCAGTACTCACTCACTACCAGCAGTACTCACTGACTACCAGCAGTACTCACTCACTACCAGCAGTACTCACTCACTCACTAGCTGCAGTACTCACTGACTCACTAGCTGCAGTACTCACTCACTACCAGCAGTACTCACTCACTAGCTGCAGTACTCACTCACTAGCTGCAGTACTCACTCACTACCAGCAGTACTCACTCACTAGCTGCAGTACTCACTACCAGCAGTACTCACTCACTAGCTGCAGTACTCACTCACTACCAGCAGTACTCACTCACTACCAGCAGATCTCACTCACTCACTACCAGCAGTACTCACTCACTACCAGCAGTACTCACTCACTACCAGCAGTACTCACTCACTACCTGCAGTACTCACTCACTACCAGCAGTACTCACTCACTAGCAGCAGTACTCACTCACTACCAGCAGTACTCACTCACTACCAGCAGTACTCACTCACTAGCTGCAGTACTCACTCACTACCAGCAGTACTCACTCACTAGCAGCAGTACTCACTCACTACCAGCAGTACTCACTCACTACCAGCAGTACTCACTAGCTGCAGATCTCACTCACTACCAGCAGTACTCACTCACTACCAGCAGTACTCACTCACTACCAGCAGTACTCACTCACTAGCTGCAGTACTGCAGAGTGATGAGTTCCGGTGTGAGTGAGTCTGCAGAGAGAGTGTTTTGAGTGATGAGTTCTGCAGAGAGAGAGAGTGTTTGAGTGATGAGTTATGGTGTGAGTGAGTCTGGAGAGAGAGTATTTTGAGTCGTGAGTTCTGCAGAGAGAGTGTTTGAGTGATGAGTTCCGGTGTGAGTGAGTCTGCAGAGAGAGTGTTTTGAGTGATGAGTTCTGCAGAGAGAGAGAGAGTGTTTGAGTGATGAGTTCTGGTGTGAGTGAGTCTGCAGAGAGAGTGTTTTGAGTGATGAGTTCTGCAGAGAGAGTGTTTGAGTGATGCGTTCTGGTGTGAGTGAGTCTGCAGAGAGAGTGTTTTGAGTGATGAGTTCTGCAGAGAGAGAGAGTGTTTGAGTGATGAGTTCTGGTGTGAGTGAGTCTGGAGAGAGAGTATTTTGAGTCGTGAGTTCTGCAGAGAGAGTGTTTGAGTGATGAGTTCCGGTGTGAGTGAGTCTGCAGAGAGAGTGTTTTGAGTGATGAGTTCTGCAGAGAGAGAGAGAGTGTTTGAGTGATGAGTTCTGGTGTGAGTGAGTCTGCAGAGAGAGTGTTTTGAGTGATGAGTTCTGCAGAGAGAGTGTTTGAGTGATGCGTTCTGGTGTGAGTGAGTCTGCAGAGAGAGTGTTTTGAGTGATGAGTTCTGCAGAGAGAGAGAGTGTTTGAGTGATGAGTTCTAGTGTGAGTGAGTCTGGAGAGAGAGTATTTTGAGTCGTGAGTTCTGCAGAGAGAGTGTTTGAGTGATGAGTGCTGGTGTGAGTCTAGAGAAAGAGTGTTTTAGTGATGAGTTCTGCAGAGAGAGAGTGTTTGAGTGATGCGTTCTGGTGTGAGTGAGTCTGCAGAGAGAGAGTGTTTTGAGTCGTGAGTTCTGCAGAGAGAGAGAGTGTTTGAGTGATGAGTTCTGGTGTGAGTGAGTCTGGAGAGAGAGTGTTTTGAGTGATGAGTTCTGCAGAGAGAGAGAGTGTTTGAGTGACGAGTTCTGGTGTGAGTGAGTCTGCAGAGAGAGTGTTTGAGTGATGAGTTCTGGTGTGAGTGAGTCTGCAGAGAGAGTGTTTTGAGTCGTGAGTTCTGCAGAGAGAGTGTTTGAGTGATGAGTTCTGGTGTGAGTGAGTCTGGAGAGAGATTGTTTTGAGTGATGAGTTCTGCATAGAGAGAGAGTGTTTGAGTGACGAGTTCTGGTGTGAGTGAGTCTGCAGAGAGAGTGTTTGAGTGATGAGTTCTGGTGTGAGTCTGCAGAGAGAGTGTTTTGAGTCGTGAGTTCTGCAGAGAGAGAGAGAGTGTTTGAGTGACGAGTTCTGGTGTGAGTGAGTCTGCAGAGAGACTGAGAGAGTGTTTGAGTGACGAGTTCTGGTGTGAGTGAGTCTTGCAGAGAGAGTGTTTGAGTGATGAGTTCTGGTGTGAGTGAGTCTGCAGAGAGAGTGTTTTGAGTCGTGAGTTCTGCAGAGAGAGAGAGAGAGAGTGTTTGAGTGACGAGTTCTGGTGTGAGTGAGTCTGCAGAGAGACTGAGAGAGTGTTTGAGTGACGAGTTCTGGTGTGAGTGAGTCTTGCAGAGAGAGTGTTTGAGTGATGAGTTCTGGTGTGAGTGAGTCTGCAGAGAGAGTGTTTTGAGTCGTGAGTTCTGCAGAGTGAGAGAGTGTTTGAGTGATGAGATCTGGTGTGAGAGAGTCTGCAGAGAGAGTGTTTGAGTGATGAGTTCTGGTGTGAGTGAGTCTTGCAGAGAGAGTGTTTGAGTGACGAGTTCTGGTGTGAGTTCGTCTGCAGAGAGAGTGTTTGAGTGATGAGTTCTGGTGTAAGTGAGCCTGCAGAGAGAGTGTTTGAGTGACGAGTTCTGGTGTGAGTGAGTCTGCAGAGAGAGTGAGAGAGTGTTTGAGTGAGGAGTTCTGGTGTGAGAGAGTCTGCAGAGAGAGTGAGAGAATGTTTGAGTGATGAGTTCTGGTGTGAGTGAGTCTGCAGAGAGAGTGAGAGAGTGTTTGAGTGATGAGTTCTGGTGTGAGTGAGTCTGCAGAGAGAGTGTTTGAGTGATGAGTTCTGGTGTGAGTGAGTCTGCAGAGAGAGTGTTTTGAGTCGTGAGTTCTGCAGAGTGAGAGAGTGTTTGAGTGATGAGATCTGGTGTGAGAGAGTCTGCAGAGAGAGTGTTTGAGTGATGAGTTCTGGTGTGAGTGAGTCTTGCAGAGAGAGTGTTTGAGTGATGAGTTCTGGTGTGAGTTCGTCTGCAGAGAGAGTGTTTGAGTGATGAGTTATGGTGTAAGTGAGCCTGCAGAGAGAGTGTTTGAGTGACGAGTTCTGGTGTGAGTGAGTCTGCAGAGAGAGTGAGAGAGTGTTTGAGTGAGGAGTTCTGGTGTGAGAGAGTCTGCAGAGAGAGTGAGAGAATGTTTTGAGTGATGAGTTCTGGTGTGAGTGAGTCTGCAGAGAGAGTGAGAGAGTGTTTGAGTGATGAGTTCTGGTGTGAGTGAGTCTGCAGAGAGAGTGTTTGAGTGATGAGTTCTGGTGTGAGTGAGTCTTGCAGAGAGAGTGTTTGAGTCGTGAGTTCTGCAGAGAGAGAGAGAGTGTTTGAGTGACGAGTTCTGGTGTGAGTGAGTCTAGAGAGAGAGTGTTTGAGTGACGAGTTCTGGTGTGAGTGAGTCTAGAGAGAGAGTGTTTGAGTGATGAGTTCTGGTGTAAGTGAGTCTGCAGAGAGAGTGTTTGAGTGATGAGTTCTGGTGTGAGTGCGTCTGCAGAGAGAGTGTTTGAGTGATTAGTTCTGGTGTAAGTGAGTCTGCAGAGAGAGTGAGAGAGTGTTTGAGTGATGAGTTCTGGTGTGAGTGAGTCTGCAGAGAGAGTGAGAGAGTGTTTGAGTGATGAGTTCTGGTGTGAGTGAGTCTGCAGAGAGAGTGAGAGAGTGTTTGAGTGATGAGTTCTGGTGTGAGTGAGTCTGCAGAGAGAGTGTTTGAGTGATGAGTTCTGGTGTGAGTGAGTCTTGCAGAGAGAGTGTTTGAGTCGTGAGTTCTGCAGAGAGAGAGAGTGTTTGAGTGATGAGTTCTGGTGTGAGTGAGTCTGCAGAGAGAGTGTTTGAGTGATGAGTTCTGGTGTGAGTGCGTCTGCAGAGAGAGTGTTTGAGTGATGAGTTCTGGTGTAAGTGAGTCTGCAGAGAGAGTGTTTGAGTGATGAGTTCTGGTGTGAGTGCGTCTGCAGAGAGAGTGTTTGAGTGATGAGTTCTGGTGTGAGTGCGTCTGCAGAGAGAGTGTTTGAGTGATGAGTTCTGGTGTGAGTCTGCAGAGAGAGTGTTTGAGTGAGGAGTTCTGGAGAGAGAGTGTTTTTTTAAGTGATGAGTTCTCGACAATGCTGAATGACGATACGATGTTACATTATCTTTGGACCAAAAAGGTGCATTCTGCCGTTTGCCTCTTTATAAAAGCTACTACTACTGTACCGTCCCCCCCTCCTCATTCCTGAGAATAAACTCATCCACTCTCGACTCCGTGCTTGTGAGCGCCTGTGTCGCACAAACATAACAACACGAGGGGCCGTCCATAAATGACGAGCGAGGTGAGTGGTTGAGTGAGCGGGGTGAGTGGTTGAGTGAGCGGGGTGAGTGGTTGAGTGAGCGAGGTTGTGAGTGGTTGAGTGAGCGGGGTGAGTGGTTGAGTGAGCGGGGTGAGTGGTTGAGTGAGCGAGGCGAGTGGTTGAGTGAGCGAGGTGAGTGGTTGAGTGAGCGGGGTGAGTGGTTGAGTGAGCGAGGTTGTGAGTGGTTGAGTGGATGAGTGAGCGAGGTGTGAGCGGGGTGAGTGGTTGAGTGAGCGAGGTTGTGAGTGGTTGAGTGGATGAGTGAGCGAGGTGTGAGCGGGGTGAGTGGTTGAGTGACCGGGGTGAGTGGTTGAGTGAGCGGGGTGAGTGGTTGAGTGAGCGAGGTGAGTGGTTGAGTGAGCGGGGTGAGTGGTTGAGTGACCGGGGTGAGTGGTTGAGTGAGCGGGGTGAGTGGTTGAGTGAGCGAGGTGAGTGGTTGAGTGAGCGAGGTGAGTGGTTGAGTGAGCGGGGTGAGTGGTTGAGTGAGCGAGGTTGTGAGTGGTTGAGTGGATGAGTGAGCGAGGTGTGAGCGGGGTGAGTGGTTGAGTGAGCGAGGTTGTGAGTGGTTGAGTGAGCGGGGTGAGTGGTTGAGCGAGGTTTGGAGTGGGTGAGTGGGTGAGTGAACGAGGTTGTGAGTAGATGAGTGAGTCACGCACCTAGTGGAGGAGGGGGGGGGGGCGGTCAGACATTTGGGGGTTTGAGAAATGTGACGTCACGTAAAAACGCGTAACTTTTAAATGAATATAGACAACACGTTCTACTTAATTAATAGACTTTGTAATAAATGTTTTCTCCTACAACATCAGAGTGCAGCGCCACATTAAATACGCACTACAATGACAACAGTTTCACGCGATTTGAAACACGTTTTATTTTCAAAATGGAAATATGGTTTTTTGGGGGGGGGGGGGCAGAGCTTTGTGACGTCATATTTGAGGGGGGGGGGTCTGACTTTTTGTGACGCCGTGTGACGAAGGGGGGGGGTCAAAAATCGGTGCAATGTTAGTCCGTGTTCAATGTAAGCACAGTAGCACCCCTCTGAACGACTAATACTGGTAGGAACCTCCTGGTTACACCAGCCCACAGGGGATTATTGTGTCCGTCCGTCGTGCATCCAAAAATGGGAGGGGTTGGGCTGGGTGGAGAGGGGAGGGTGGGGAGAGGCTGGGTGGGGAGGGTGGGGAGGGGCTGGGTGGGGAGGGGCTGGGAGGGGTGGGGCTGGCTGGAGAGGGGAGGGTGGGGAGGGGCTGGCTGGGGAGGGTGGGGAGGGGCTGGGTGGGGGGGTGGGAGGGGTGGGGCTGGGGTGGGGAGGGTGGTGCTAGGTGGGGAGGGGCTGGGTGGTGGGTGGGAGGGAGGGGCTGGGTGGGGAGGGGTGGGGCTGGATGGGGTGTGGGAGGGGTGGGGCTGGGTGGGGAGGGGCTGGTCACCCCGTGGTGCCCTTATAAAACTCAACGTTTCACCTACTCACGCCGGCTTGTGCCCGCCCTCACAGTCGGGCATGTTTGCGGAATACACCACGCCGCCGTTGACCCTGCAGGCCATTGACCGAGCAACCCAACGTTCCTACCAGCTCCCTCCGCAGCAGCAATGTGTTTGGTTCCACGAAACCGGTCGTTCAGTGATTTGGTCGTTAAGCGAGTATAATAAATGCACGTTAAAGGCTTAGTTGGTTCCGATAGCATCGAACGTGACCCCTTTTTCACCCAAAAAAAGGTACTTTACAATATTTATAAACAATAGATATGAATACATAAAGATACAATATTATGAACATAATATTCAAAGAAACACGGTTGATCAACGCATTACTGAATGTTTACCTACAACAGCCCGTCGAATGGTCGGTAAGTGAACACATTGGGCTCTATGGAGGCACTACACTACTTTAGACTACACTATACAGTGAGGGAAATAAGTATTTGATCCCCTGCTGATTTTGTACGTTTGCCCACTGACAAAGAAATGATCAGTCTATAATTTTAATGGTAGGTTTATTTGAACAGTGAGAGACAGAATAACAACAAAAAAATCCAGAAAAACGCATATCAAAAATGTTATAAATTGATTTGCATTTTAATGAGGGAAATAAGTATTTGACCCCTCTGCAAAACATGACTTAGTACTTGGTGGCAAAACCCTTGTTGGCAATCACAGAGGTCAGACGTTTCTTGTAGTTGGCTACCAGGTTTGCACACATCTCAGGAAGGATTTTGTCCCACTCCTCTTTGCAGATCTCTCCAAGTCATTAGTGTTTATGGGCAGTGTTAGTCTATGGGCAGTGTTAGTCTATGGGCAATGTTAGTCTATGGGCAGTGTTAGTCTATGGGCAATGTTAGTCTATGGGCAATGTTAGTCTATGGGCAGTGTTAGTCTATGGGCAATGTTAGTCTATGGGCAATGTTAGTCTATGGGCAGTGTTAGTCTATGGGCAATGTTAGTTTATGGGCAATGTTAGTCTATGGGCAGTGTTAGTCTATGGGTAGTGTTAGTTTATGGGCAGTGTGAGTCTATGGGCAGTGTTAGTCTATGGGCAGTGTTAGTCTATGGGCATTGTTAGTCTATGGGCAGTGTTGAGGCTATGGGCAGTGTTGAGTCTATGGGTAGTGTTGAGTCTATGGGCAGTGTTAGTCTATGGGCAGTGTTGAGTCTATGGGTAGTGTTAGTTTATGGGCAGTGTGAGTCTATGGGCAGTGTTAGTCTATGGGCAGTGCTAGTCTATGGGCAGTGTTAGTCTATGGGCAGTGTTAGTTTATGGGCAGTGTTAGTCTATGGGCAGTGTTAGTCTATGGGCAGTGTTAGTTTATGGGCAGTGTTGAGTCTATGGGCAGTGTTAGTCTATGGGCAGTGTTAGTCTATGGGCAATGTTAGTCTATGGGCAATGTTAGTCTATGGGCAATGTTAGTCTATGGGCAATGTTAGTCTATGAGCAGTGTTAGTCTATGAGCAGTGTTAGTCTATCAGCAGTGTTAGTCTATGGGCAATGTTAGTCTATGGGCAATGTTAGTCTATGAGCAATGTTAGTCTATGAGCAGTGTTAGTCTATGGGCAGTGTTAGTCTATGAGCAGTGTTAGTCTATGGGCAGTGTTAGTCTATGGGCAATGTTAGTCTATGGGCAATGTTAGTCTATGGGCAATGTTAGTCTATGGGCAATGTTAGTCTATGGGCAATGTTAGTCTATGAGCAGTGTTAGTCTATGGGCAGTGTTAGTTTATGGGCAGTGTTGAGTCTATGGGTAGTGTTAGTCTATGGGCAGTGTTGAGTCTATGGGCAGTGTTAGTCTATGGGCAGTGTTAGTCTATGGGCAGTGTTAGTTTATGGGCAGTGTTGAGTCTATGGGTAGTGTTAGTTTATGGGCAGTGTTGAGTCTATGGGCATTGTTAGTCTATGGGCAGTGTTAGTCTATGGGCAGTGTTAGTCTATGGGCAGTGTTAGTCTATGGGCAGTGTTAGTCTATGGGCAGTGTTAGTCTATGGGCAGTGTTGAGTCTATGGGCAGTGTTAATCTATGGGCAATGTTAGTCTATGGGCAGTGTTAGTCTATGGGCAGTGTTAGTCTATGGACAGTGTTAGTCTATGGGCAGTGTTAGTCTATGGGCAGTGTTAGTCAGTGGGCAGTGTTAGTCTATGGGCAGTGTTAGTCTATGGGCAGTGTTCGTAGCGAAGTTGAACACAAAAGCGGTGAACAGGTTCATGGGAGCCGGCACGCGGTGCTTTGCACCAACACAGCACGGGACGCACAACGGCCGATAAGGAGACACCAGACTGAAGTTCAACTCGCAGACTTCCACATTCCCCACCGTGACACGAACCGGGTCCTTTATGAGGAACTGCAGCGGCCAAGCAGGCTGGCGCCTGGCCAGTGGTTGGATGGGAGTCCACCATGCAAGTCGTTCTTCTATTGCGACTACGACTAACCGCTGCCATGGTTACTGGTTCGCGTGAACTTCACCCATCGATTCCTGCTTCTTTGCGTCCACACTGTTGGTCGCAACACAGCCCACTCGCTCACACCCGACTCACTCAACCACTCACCCCCTACTCACCCCGCTCACTCACCCACTCACCCACTCACACCCGACTCACCCACTCAACCACTCACACCCCGCTCACTCACCCACTCACCCACTCACACCCGACTCACTCACCCACTCAACCACTCACCCACTCACCCCGCTCACTCAACCACTCACCCACCCACATCCTACTCACTCAACCACTCACCCCCTACTCACCCCGCTCACTCACCCACTCACCCACTCACACCCGACTCACTCACCCACTCAACCACTCACACCCCACTCACTCAACCACTCACCCACTCACCCCGCTCACTCAACCACTCACCCACTCACAGCCGACTCACTCACCCACTCAACCACTCACAGCCGACTCACTCACCCACTCAACCACTCATTCACTCACCCCGCTCACTCAACCACTCCCTACTCACTCACCCACTCAACCACTCACCCACGCTCACTCAACCACTCACCCACCCACACCCTACTCACCCACTCAACCACTCACCCTGCTCACTCAACCACTCACCCACTCACACCCTACTCACTCACCCACTCACAACCTCGTTCACTCAACCACTCACCCACTCACACCCTACTCACCCACTCTCCCACCCCATACCTCGCTCACTCAACCACTCACCCACTCCAAACCTCGCTCACTCAACCACTCACCCACTCCAAACCTCGCTCGCTCAACCACTCACCCACTCCATACCTCGCTCACTCACCCACTGACCCACTCACCCCGCTCACTCAACCAGTCACCCACTCACACCCTACTCACTCACCCACTCACCCACTCACCCACTCACAACCTCGTTCACTCAACCACTTACCCACTCACACCCTACTCACTCACCCACTCAACCACTCACAACCTCGTTCACTCAACCACTCACCCACTCACACCCTACTCACCCACTCACCCACTCCATACCTCGCTCACTCAACCACTCACCCACTCCAAACCTCGCTCACTCAACCACTCACCCACTCCAAACCTCGCTCACTCAACCACTCACCCACTCCATACCTCGCTCACTCATCCACTCACCCACTCACCCCGCTCACTCAACCACTCACCCACTCACACCCTACTCACTCAACCACTCACATACTCCAAACCTCGCTCACTCAACCACTCACCCACTCACACCGCTCACTCAACCACTCACCCACTCACACCCTACTCACTCATCCACTCAACCACTCACAACCTCGTTCACTCAACCACTCACCCACTCACACCCTACTCACCCACTCACCCACTCCAAACCTCGCTCACTCAACCACTCACCCACTCCAAACCTCGCTCACTCAACCACTCACCCACTCCATACCTCGCTCACTCACCCACTCACCCACTCACCCCGCTCACTCAACCACTCACCCACTCACACCCTACTCACTCACCCACTCACCCACTCAACCACTCACACACTCACTCAACCACTCACCCACTCAACCACTCACCCACTCACACGCCACTCACCCACCACTCACCCACCCACTCAACCACTCACACACTCACCCACTTACCCACTCAACCACTCACCCACTCACACGCCACTCACCCACCACTCACCCACCCACTCAACCACTCAACCACTCAACCACCCATCCACTCAACCACTGACCCACCCACTCACACGCCACTCACCCACTCAACCACTCAACCACTCACACGCCACTCACACCCCGCTCACTGCGCATTCACTCACCCCGCTCACTCATCCACTCACCGTCCATGAATTCACCCCCCCCCCCCCCCCCCCCACTCGCTCACCCACTCAACTACTCACTCACCCACTCACCACACTGCCTGTCACCTCGCGTCTCTCTCTCACGTCTTCACTCGCACCGTCACACTCTGGAATCTCCTCCCAAATGTTACAACAACAACAACAATCACCTCGCTGCTCAATTCAAAACACGCGTCGCACCGACCCACACGTGACGACTTTGTTCGTGGTGCTGCTTGTTGCTGGCCGCTTGACGTGAGCAGCCGTGAACGTCACGGACCTGGTGGGGGGGGAGGGGGGGGGTCAGACATTTGTGACGATGTGTGACGAGGGGGCGGGTGGGGGGGAGAAATGTGACGTCACATCAAAATGCGCAACTTTACATGAATATAGACAACACGTTCTACTTGTATTCTTAGGTTTTTTCGGTAAAGTCACGTAGCTAAAACATTAAAATTAAAAAAAGTAAAATAAAATAAAAATCACGACGTTTCGGAGGCAACACAAGTCTCCGTCATCAGGTGGGACCGTCACAGCCAGATTAGCTGCATCAAGTGAGGCAATGATTCAAGATGTAATCCCTTAAAAGCGAGTTGAGGGGGGAGGAGAGGGGGGGGGAGCTCATCAGAATGTAGTAGCCAATGAATGGAACGTAGATTTGTAATAAATGTTTTCTCCTACAACATCAGAGTTGCAGCGCCACATTAAATACGCACTACAATGACAATAGTTTACAGCGATTTGAAGCATGTTTTATATTTTGGGGGGGGGGGGGGCAGAGCTTTGTGACGTCATATGTGAGGGGGGGGGTCTGATTTTTTGTGACGCCGTGTGACGAAGGGGGGGGGTCAAAAATCGTCCCAAATCGCGTGACGTCATTTATGGACGGCCCCTTATAGGCTCTGCCATGCATTTGTTGTGCGGAGGTCGTGCAGCAAAATAAACCGTTGTACTGCACCTCTATGCCCCCCTCAATTTCTGCCTTCGCCAGAATCTGCATATTTATACTCGAGAAGGGAATCCGATGATCTGCAAAGCTCTTTAACGCGGATGTCCTGTGGGGACACGGGGTCACGATGTTACGACAAACAGCGCACAAACACGATAGCAGTGCAAAGTATCGAGAGGAATTTCGATTTAAAGCTTCTTTCGTGACTGCAGGGATTCATCTTCTTGGTTCTTTCGCTAAAGTCACGTAGAAGGGAAGTAATAAAATAATAAAAGTAAAACATTTTTATGTTTCGATTTAAAGCTTTGGTGACTGCAGGGATTCATCTTCTTGGTTCTTTCGCTAAAGTTACGTAGAAGGGAAATAATAAAATAATAAAAATAACACATTTTTATGTTTCGATTGAAAGCTTTCGTGACTGCAGGGATTCATCTTCTTGGTTCTTTCGGTAAAGTCATCACGTAGAATTGAAATAATAAAATAATAAAAATAAAACACAATAAAATACAATTCTCACGACGTTTCGGCCACAACGCAAGCAGCCGTCCTCAGGTGGAGAGCAGATCTGTCGAGTAGACAGAGTCTGAATGACAAGCCCCAGGCTTGGAGCGACTATTTAAGCTGGGATGGAAGGGGGCAGAGCGCCTTAACAAAATAATTTGCATATCAAGAGGAATTTAGCATATTTATGGGAAATGCAGGTATGTGATTAGTGCTACTTGTGAAATGCGTAGGAGGTGGGCGGGGGGGTTTCAAAGTCATATTATGCCCGTGCATTATGCAGGATCAGCAGCATCAAAGGGAGGGGGAAGGGGGGTAGCATTAACAAAGGGAAGGAGTGTTAATAGTATGTAGCTGCAGTAACTAAACAACCACGTTTTATTTTATTATGTTTTATTTTTAATATTTTATTACTTCCCTTCTACGTGACTTTACCGAAAGAACCAAGAAGATATGTAGAGGAAGTTAAGCAAATCGCAAATAAATCGAAATAAAACTAACTTAATTTTACCTCCTAAATAAGTATTCCGATTCGTGTTCTGAGCTATTAGCTTTTTTTCCAGAAGCGATTTGGCCACAAATGACAGCTTAAGGGTCCGTCCATAAATGACGTCACGCGATTTTGGATGATTTTTGACCCCTCCCCTCTCTTCGTCACACGACGTCACAAAAAGTCAGACCCCCCCCTCACATATGACGTCACAAACCTCTGCCCCCCCCCCCCCCCAAAAAAAAAAAAAATTTCCATTTTAAAAATAAAACATGCTTCAAATCGCTTTAAACTGTTGCCATTGTAGTGCGTATTTATGATGTGCTATAACAATTATAAAGTTTCGATTTAAAGCTTTCGTGCCTATTTCTAGCGGCCATCTAATCTCGACCCGCAGACCGGCGTGGTGACGTATGGCCACGTTGCGCGATGACGTCACAATTACTTACGCGATGACGTCACAATTACTTACGCGATGACGTAGACACACGTGACGGTGACGTCAGGAACCGCCGAGTTAAGAATCCCGCCAAACCCACCCAACAACGCGGTGACGTCACCGCGCGCGAATTTGTTACGTGATTGCGTCACCACGCACGTCTACCGCCGCCGCGCGACACACCCCCCCACCCCACAACGCGTAGCACGCACTCTACGTGATGACGTCACGAGCCAACGGCGGCGTGCGTCGTGATGTCATCACGCCTAGCCCCGCCCACCTCGTCAAGAGCGAGAGGGCGAGTTGAGCCGGGGCCATCGCGTTCGCCGCAGCGCAGAGCAATGGCGAATCGAGCGGACTAACCGAGGCGAGGGAGAGGGGGAAACCCTCGGCGGCGAACGACGCAGACAGCCCGCGAGTGACCGCCGCACGCACGAGGGGAGGCCGCGGTCATCGCCGCTCGCTCGCCGCGTTCAGGGTGAGTCCGCGCGGGGTTGCGGCCTAGCGCGTTCGGTCGGGGTGGGAGTGCGACCGGTCCTCGGATAGCGGCGCGGGCCGGGTTCGAGGCGTCCTGGCCCGGCGGTGGACCCGGAAGAAGGCGGGCGGCCGGGGTGCGGTGTCCGGTAAAGTCAAAAAACAGTCAACGCGGTTTGTGTGTCTGCGTTGTCGCTTTTACTCCGTCCAGTGTCGTAACTCGCTCGGTTACCCCGCGTCTCGCTCAATCGGGCCTCTGTCCACCCACCCACCCCACCACCACCACCACCCCCGTGTGTCACTTTCACACACGGGGCTCTCTCCATCCGTGCGTCTCCCCTTCACCACCCGCGCCTCTTATCGTGCCAATCCACCGTCATTTACCGTGTCTCCCGCCCCATGTTTGTCCCTCAACCTTGAAGCCGTGTGCAGGTTTAATCCTCTTGGCTTTGCCTCGATAAGCCGCCTTATTATCCCGTCATTACGGGGCTTCAAGGCTAAATTTACCCCCCCCCCCTCTCCTCTCTCCCTCCTGGCCTCCATCTCTCTGTCTCTCTCTTCTTCACTCCTTCTTCACTCCTTCTTCACTCCTCTGCCTCTCTCCATCCCGAGCTCTCTCCCCACCTCCACTCTCTCATTCATTCCCAACGTCGCTCCATCCCCATGACATTTCCTGTTTCACTCGCTCTCCTCTCCCCACGATTCCCACCCTCACTCTGCCCCGGCGGGTCTTCACTGCAAGGCCCGCGGTCCACTGGCCTTTAGTGCGACTCCCGACAATACACACAGAGTGAAAACATCCCCCCCCTCCTCCTCCTCCTCCTCCCCATCGCGTTGTCTAACCTCTAACCCCAATGGTCTCGGGTGTATGGCGACACTCACACACTGATGTCTCTGCACCAGAGGTGTGGACTCGAGTCATGTGACTTGGACTCGAGTCAGACTCGAGTCATGAATTTGATGACTTCAGACTCGACTTGGACTTGCATAACAATGACTTTGTCCCACCTCTGAGGTGTGGACTCGAGTCATGTGACTTGGACTCGAGTCAGACTCGAGTCATGAATTTGATGACTTCAGACTCGACTTGGACTTGCATAACAATGACTTTGTCCCACCTCTGAGGTGTGGACTCGAGTCATGTGACTTGGACTCGAGTCAGACTCGAGTCATGAATTTGATGACTTCAGACTCGACTTGGACTTGCATAACAATGACTTTGTCCCACCTCTGAGGTGTGGACTCGAGTCATGTGACTTGGACTCGAGTCAGACTCGAGTCATGAATTTGATGACTTCAGACTCGACTTGGACTTGCATAACAATGACTTTGTCCCACCTCTGCTCTGCACCCCCCCTCTGAAAATTCGTGAAGAACACTGCTCTATTCCACTCTTCCTTACTCACATCCTCCAATCCATCTCGTGCCGTCACCCACTGCCTCCCCCCCCGCCCTCACTGCTCAGAGGAACTGAAAGCAGAACCCGGGTCGAACTTGTAAAACTATATATTTTTTTAGCCAGGTAAGACCAACTGAACTATGTAGGTTATTTTTCTGAAGCGAATTGGTCACAGGTGATAGCTCAACGCAGTGGCTAAGCACGTGGAAAAGTACAGCAGCTAAATGCTCTAAGCTAATTCTTTTAAATGTGGAGGGAAACCGGAGGACCTGGAGAAAATCCACGTGACCACGGAGAGAGAGACACACCTCGAACTCTATATAGCAGGCGTCATGGTCCGGATCGTACCCACGACCTCCTGTAGACCAGGCGAGGTAGTTAACATCTCCTAGCCACCGTGATGATGATGATGATGAGAGACACGCAAACTCCAAATACACAGCAGCAGGCGTCAGGGTCTGGATCGAACCCACGACCTCCTGTGTACCAGGCGAGGTAGTTAACATCTCCTAGCCACCGTGATGATGATGATGAGAGAGAGACACGCATACTTCAAATATACAGCAGGCGTCAGGTTCGTGATCGTACCCACGACCTCCTTGCATACCGGGCGAGGTAGTTAACATATCCTAGCCACCGTGGTGATGATGAGAGAGAGACACGCAAACTTAAAATATACAGCAGGCGTCAGGGTTGGGATCGTACCCACGACATCTTGTGTACCAGGCGAGGTAGTTAACATCTCCTAGTTACCGTGATGATGATGATGAGAGAGAGACACGCATACTTCAAATATACAGCAGGCGTCAGGTTCGTGATCGTACCCACGACCTCCTTGCATACCAGGCGAGGTAGTTAACGTCCCCTACCCACCTTGGTGCCCAAACTTTGGCCGAGGGCCAGCCAGGTGGGTGTCTGCCCCCCCCCCCAGCCACGTGAGGGCGACCCGAAAGGAGAAGTTGCGAAATCTCCGAGATGGTGATGGGGTCAGACGCGCGTGTCCACGTGTACCTGTGCGTACCGAAGCCCACAGTCACTTTACTTACCTACACAGACTTCCCCCCCACCTCTCCCCTCTCATCTCACTCCACTCCCCTCCACGCACTCTCCTGCCTCTCCCCTCTAATCTCACTCTACTCCCCTCCACGCACTCTCCTGCCTCTCCCCTCTAATCTCACTCTACTCCCATCCATGCACTCTCCTGCCTCTCCCCTCTCATCTCACTCTACTCCCCTCCACGCACTCTCCTACCTCTCCCCTCTCATCTCACTCTACTCCCATCCATGCACTCTCCTGCCTCTCTCCTCTCATCTCACTCTACTCCCCTCCACGCACTCTCCTGCCTCTCCCCTCTAATCTCACTCTACTCCCCTCCATACACTCTCCTACCCCTCTCATCTCACTCTACTCCCCTCCACGTACTCTCCTGCCTCTCCCCTCTCATCTCACTCTACTCCCCTCCATGCACTCTCCTACCTCTCCCCTCTCATCTCACTCTACTCCCATCCATGCACTCTCCTGCCTCTCCCCTCTCATCTCACTCTACTCCCCTCCACGCACTCTCCTACCTCTCCCCTCTCATCTCACTCTACTCCCATCCATGCACTCTCCTGCCTCTCTCCTCTCATCTCACTCTACTCCCCTCCACGCACTCTCCTGCCTCTCCCCTCTAATCTCACTCTACTCCCCTCCATACACTCTCCTACCCCTCTCATCTCACTCTACTCCCCTCCACGCACTCTCCTACCTCTCCCCTCTCATCTCACTCTACTCCCGTCCACGCACTCTCCTACCTCTCCCCTCTCATCTCACTCTACTCCCCTCCACGCACTCTCCTACCTCTCCCCTCTCATCTCACTCTACTCCCCTCCATACACTCTCCTACCCCTCTCATCTCACTCTACTCCCCTCCACGCACTCTCCTACCTCTCCCCTCATCTCACTCTACTCCCCTCCACGCACTCTCCTGCCTCTCCCCTCTCATCTCACTCTACTCCCCTCCATACACTCTCCTACCCCTCTCATCTCACTCTACTCCCCTCCACGCACTCTCCTACCTCTCCCCTCTCATCTCACTCTACTCCCCTCCATGCACTCTCCTACCTGCTTCTCATCTCACGCTACTCTCCACACCACACTCTCTTGCTCCAGCAACCAAGGCTTTGTCTCTAAACCCCCAGTCAACCAGCGCTCAGTGGGAAGTCCCTCTGGTCTGAAAATCCCTTACCCACTGTGTGTGCTATCGACTTTCCTAGTCTACTCTGCCCGTGACTGGCCACTTCCCTCTCCTATAGATAAAGATCCCCCGTATAGCCTTCAACAGGCTGTGAGGGCAAGTTTTTGTTAGCGAGCAGCACAGACGAAGGCCGGCACGGCACACGAGGGGGTGGGTGGCCAACATCACGCCCGGCCGCATTTGTCTCCCCAGTGGCGATGTTCTCATTTTTGTGTGTATGCATATTGAACTTCTTTCGCACCGTACTTAGCCGACCGTGCTCATCGGAGTTGTGGCTGACCCGACCTTGGGGAGGCCCAGGACCGGATCGGATAGTTAGAATCGTCACTGGTGTTTGGCCGTGAGCGGGAATCGAATTCGGGGTCGCTGTGTTCGTAGCGCAGTGTAGCGCTACACCGCCTGCGTCACGTAGAGACCTACACACCAGGGACGTGCGGTCAGGGGAGGCAGGTGAGGCAAGAGCCTCACCTGTCATACTCCAATGAAAATAGTTGTTACGAAAAGTAAAAAAAAGAACAATCAAATCAAATAAATATTACGATTTTTGCACTCATCTGTGTTTCAATGTCATTTCTGTACGATTCCAATAATTTTTTATCGTCAAAATCGCCAAATTTGCAGAGCTCCGCTGCAAATACAGGAAGAGACGAGAGGTGAGGCAGCGACGAGCTCAGCCTCCCCTCTGATTGCGCAACCCCTCAGTAACTGGATGGAGCGCGGGCAATAAGCGCGTGCCTGTTACTATCTCAGTATGTCACCAATGTAATGTTTGTAGACCCCTTCATCTCATGTCCTCGCCTTCCATACTCCAGGTAACTTTTGTCACGTGTGTGTATAAAGATATTGAGGCTCGCTGGTCTCGTCGTGAAACTGCAATGAAAAAGCACCAGGGGAGGCAGCTATCACATCTGCCTCACCTGAGGGGGATGTGTCTAACACGCCCCCCTCGGTGAGGACACGCCCCCCTCGGTGAGGACACGCCCCCCTCGGTGAGGATACGCCCCCCTCGGTGTGTAAATCTGGCTGTGATACCAGCTAATGCCTCCCCAGCCATTGACCTCACCACACGTCACTGGTAAATGAAACATGCCAGACAGTTACCAGTTCAGCACACCGATTGTGTTGGAGAGAAAACCCACTCCCAAGTGACCCCCATACCTACGACCCAATTGGTTCCTGGACAGACGGTCGCGGCTGTCCCAAGTTGAGCCCTTATTTCCCATCGGCGCAATGTTAAACATTGGGGGTCTGTTCCTGGAAACCCATTTGCATACCATAAAAATACCGTTATTGACCACGAAAATAAATGAAAATAACCCGAACAATTGTAACTTAACGTAACTCACTTGATGCAGCAAATCTGGCTGTG